CTGCCGGGGGATCCTGCCGGGAGATGGGGCGGCTTGGGCCCCCTCTTGAGGAGGGCCCGATCCCCGGGGCGGCTGCGGACAGGGTCGACGACACTCAGGAAAGCAGACAGCCCGTGTGTCGCTTGGACTTCTCCTCCGTCAGTGTGTTTCATCCCCCCCCCCCGTCCAAGCGAGGGGGACCGCCGCGCATCGGAGCACGTTACCGAGGCGCACAACGGCCGGGGAGACCCAGACGCCCGGGGCGAAGCCGCCCCACAGAGATCGAACGAGATCGCGTCGTAGACATGTTCCGCGTCACGTGACCAGGCCCGGGGTGATTTGGGCCTCCGGCGTGGTTGAGTGTGTGTGTGTGTGTGCCTGTGTGTGTATTTGCACAGGGGGTGTGCGTGTTTCCCCCCCCCTTCCCCCCCCCGCCCGAGAGAAGAAGAACTAAAAACTAACGTGTATATTGTCGGGCCAAAAAAAAAAGATCGAAGGGCGGGGAGAGGGGTCGGCCAGCAAGGCAAGGCAAGTGCGCAGGAGCCAGACCGCGGGAGGGGGAGGGGGAGAGGTGGAGCTGCGCACAGGCTCTGCTTTCGCGCGGGAAGGGGAGGGCAGTCCGCCCACACACAGCTCTGCGCGGCGCGGATATACTGCATCCAGCGCGGGGGAGCATGAGGGAGGGAGAGTATGATGAAAGGAGGGGGGGGGGCGGAGGAGGAGGAAAGGGCAGCACCAGCCAGACTCAGGTGGAAATCGGGCAGAAGTCGTCGCCGACGCTGAGGAAATGCCGGAGACAGGGGTGGGTGGCGAACTTGCCGGTGACGAAGGCCACAGCGCGGGCGCACGCCTCCAGGAGCGAGGTGCTGACATTGGCCGCGACGTCGCACTCACTGGGAGGCGGGTTTGGGCGGGCACAGGGCAAGTGCGATCGGGGAGGGGGGGGGGGGAGAGAGAGAGAGGCGAGCATGTGGCGAAAGTGGGTCAGCACCGGGTGCGTGCGTGCGTGCGTGCGTGCGTGCGTGCGTGCGTGCGTGCGTGCGTGCGTGCGTGCGTGCGTGCGTGCGTGCGCGCGTGTGGGTGGCCAGGGGGCGCGGCAGCCTCCGAATGCGACGTACCGATGGTAGCACGCGTCGTACGGCATGTGCGGGAAGCCGCCATAGAGGTCGGCCTCGAGCGGGGTCTTCAGCGACCCGGCGCCCGTGGCCAGGCCACTGGACGGCACGCCGGCCTCCAGGAAGGACAGGTAGTCGGACCCACCGTCGAGGGGGGTGTAGGCGAAGGGAATGGCCGGGTTGGCCACCTGGCCGAAGTAGTGGCCGATGGTCTCGCCGATGCGGGTGCTGGCATTGCGCATGGGCTCCGGGAAGTCGGCATACGGCCAGTCGATGGTGGGAGTGCCGGTGTACACCATGGGCAGGCCATTGAGCGAGCCCAGCATGTCCAAGTTGACGTAGGCCACCGCAGGGAAGGGGTCCACCCCCGGCGGGGGCGTGGACGAGCCGGAGCTGCCGGAGCTGCCGGAGTTGCCGGAAGAGGAGGCGCCGGTGTGCTTCTGCTGGGCCAGGCCCAAACCCACTGGAGGGTAGACAAAGTGATCGCGCACGTGGTACCGCGAGCCAAAGAGCCCGGTCTCCTCGGCGCCCCACCAGGCGAACCGCACCGGGTTGACTGAGCGCTCGTGCAGCTTCTCGGCATGGAATCGCAGGACTGCGCAGCCGACGGGGAGGGGGGACACGGGGGGAGAGGTGAGACCATGCGACGGGGGCCGCGCGCTGCGCAGGCAAAGAGAGCGAGGGAAGGGGGGGGGGAGGGGCCGGTTCGGGAAGGCCAAAAAAATTTGGGAACCGGGCCCCGGAAGCCCGCCGGGCCGGAGAACATGGAAAAGAAGACGGAGACGGCCGGAGCAAGAGCAAAGAGGGGCGCGGACAGGAGCAGGGACGGGGGAGGAGGGAAAAAGGGGGGAGACGCTGGGGGGGGGGGGCACGGCCAAGAAACTTGCGTACCCAGCTCCAGCAGCGCCGCCGAGCCGGAGGCATTGTCATTGAGCCCGGGTCCGGCCGGGACCGAGTCCAGGTGCGCGCCGACCAGCAGCAGGTCCGTCGACAGGGGAGCCCCGGGGGCCGGGGCAGTGCGACCGTCCGGGCTGGCGGCCCGCGCCGGCGGCACATGGACCACCAGGTTGAAGGTCTCGGCCAGGCGGAGCTCGGCATCCATGCTGAAGGAGAGCGTGCTCAGGGGCCCGCCACTGAGCAGGACCCCGGAAACGGTGGAGGACACCGACATGACCGGGACCTGGACCAGCGGGTCCCCAAGGCGCCAGGCCTCCGGCAGCATGTACGGGCGCCGGAGGCCGCCGGCCGAGGCCGGGCTCACAACCATCACCAAGGCCGCCAGCTCGAAGACCGGGGTGTCGGGCTGGCGCGCGGCCAGGGCCGCCTGCGCGGCCAGCACGCGATCCAGCGCACTGCAGGGGGCCGCCAGCGTCGCCATGTGGGCGGGGGCCGCCGGGGACTCGGTCTGCAGCAGCAGGCCCAGGGCGCCGGCCGGCGGCTCGGGCAGCAGCCCGGCATAGTCCTCCGGCTGGCAGCCCGTCTCGGCCGGGATGGATACCACCTGCCCGACGGTGGTGTCAACGTGCGTGGCATTGCTGCCGTACGAGAGGACCGAGAAGTCCTGCCCCGGGACCAGGGCCAGCGGCATCGGCGTCAGGATGTCCATGGCGCCGGCGGTGCGATGCACGTGCAGCGGAGTGTCGAAGTATTCGCGCTGGACGTCGCTGTGTGTGTGTGCGTGCGTGCGTGCGCGCGTGCGCGCGTGGGGGAAGAGCGAGGTCAGCGGAAGGGGGAAGGCGTGGGCAGAGGCGCAAGCGGAAGGGGGAAGGCGTGGGCAGGGGCGCCAGCGGACGGGGCCGGCGGCCAAGAGGGCAGCGGATGGGGGCGCGGATGCAAGCAGGCAGCGGGGGGAGGGGGGGGGGCAGAGGGGCAGGGCACACGCGTGCTCACGCACAAGGTGGTGTTCTGGCGCAGGGCCGCCTCGATGTAGAGAGCCGACGCCTCGTAGCCGAGGGTGTCGGCCGCGCGGGTGGGCAGCCCGGCGCCGGGGGCCTGCTGGTGGGCGGCGGCCAGGACGGCGGCCAGGGCATCCGCCGACACCGGGGTGTAATCCACGGCCACCGGGGCCAGGGACGAGGGCCGGCCATGCCCGGGGATGGCGGCCACCCCGCCGGCCACCGAGGCCACCGGGATGAAGGCGGCCCGGCGGATGTCGGCCGAGGCGGAGGCCAGCGCGGCGTCCGTGAAGGCGCCCAGATGCGTCAGCAGCGAGCGTGCCTCGATGGCCATGCTCAAGCGCTCGCCCTCCTTTACCGGGGTGGCCAGCGACGTGCGCACGGCCAGCGAGATGACCACGGCGCTGCCGATGAAGATGGCCACCACCGAGGCCAGGGAGAGGTAGATCTGCCAGCGGGCCGGCGGACGGGCGTCCGGCCCAGGAGGAAGCGACCCGGTGGACCCGCCACCGAGGGCGCCCTCATCGTCGTCGCTGGAGCCGGCGCCGAAGGGGGCCGCCTCGTCGGTGCACTCGTCGGCATACAGGTCCCCGCCGACGCCGGTGCCCCCCTGCCCGTAGTGCCGGTACGTCTGGTCGGCACGGCTCGGCCGCAGAGGGGTGGTGTCCAGGCCTGGCGAGGGGATGTCCGAGTCGCAGGAGGACATCATCGGGTGGGCCGAGGAATCGGCCGACCGCAAGGAGGAGGGCGATTGCATGGAGCTGTTAATCGACGGCGAGCCCGGGTCGCTGTGGAGGGGGGGATAGTGGGGGTGGGCTGGCAGGAGCGAGGGTGCAGCAGGGGGGGGGGGGGGGGGGAGGGGGCGAGGGTGGTCGGGCAACCGGAGGCGGCCACCGGTGGGCGGGCTGCTGCGTAAGCGTGGTGGTTCGGTGGCGGGATGGGGCTCGAGGCAGGCAGGCAGGCGGGACTCGCCA